CATTAAACTCAGGCTTGATGGCGATGTCTACATTTGCTGAGCCGTCGGTTTTGCCCACTTGTTTCTGAGAGTCTGATGTAGTGTAGGTTGGCCTCAAACTCACTGTGTCCCTGAGGCTGGCCCTGAACTCCTGGTCTTCCTGCCTTGGCCTCTCAAGAGCTGGTGTATAGGCGTGAGCCACTGTGCTGGGCTAACCTGTTTGCGCTTCTGAGACTGTCTTCACTCCTCTGTTTGGTTTTTCCTTTAGTCCTCACTAGTAAAATATGACAGTGACACGATGTAGCTGTTAGTCATTGACCAACTTCTTCGGAGACCCTGCCGTGTGCCAAGTGATCTGCACACCTTTGCAAGAAAAACAAATGAACAAAATCTCTTTTGAGAAACACCGGGGCAGGGGCTGGGGAGATGGCTCCGTGGGCAAAGCGCCTTGCGGCTTATGCACAAGGACCTGAGTTCGGATCTCCAGCAGGCAAGCCAAAGCTAGGTGTGGTGGCACGTGCCTGTCGCTCTAGCCTTGAGGGTGGAGATGGGCACATCCTGGGGGGGTTCCTTGGCCAGCCTGTCTACCAAAAACAGAGAGTTTGGGGTTCAGAGATGAGACTGTGTCTCAAAACACAAGGTGGAAGGTGACAGAGAAAGACACCTCTGGCCCCGTAAGTGCAGGTAGAGATGACTGCACATGCTCACAGGTATGTACGCATATGTTTACCCCGTCACACATACATGTAGGAACACTAGAGTGTTCAGGCATGAAGTAGATGTGAATTACTGAACTAAACAAGAAGATTTAATAGTGACTGCCAGGCTGCCACAGAGACACAGATCAGGAAGCATGGGGGTGGTCCAGAAAGCTACTCAGTCCCGCCTTGCTCAGGTGAGTATTTTGTGTGAAAAGCTGTAAAAAGTGTTTTATTCTCTGTATCCACCAATTCATTTAGTCATTTTAAAGCTTTATTTATTTATTTGAAAGGGTTTCTCTGTGTAGCCCTGGCTGTCCTGGGACTAGCTCTGTAGACCAGGATGACCTCAAACTTATGCCTGCCTCTGCCTCCTGAGTGCTGGGATTAAAGGTGTGTGGCATCATTCCTAGCTATTTTTTTTTAACTTACAAAAATGGTATCGTGTGTGTGTGTGTGTGTGTGTGTGTGTGTGTGTGTGTGTGTGTGACATTACCAGTGTGGAAGTCAGGTGACAAATGTGGCCGTTGGTTCCTGCCTTCTGTCCCTTGGCTCCAAGGGACTGAACCAGGTTGACAGGCATAGTAACAAGTACCCTAACCCCTAACCCGATGAAATATTTCATCGGCCCTGGGTTGTTTGTTTTAATTTAATTTTATGCGTATGGTTGTTTTGTCTACTTTTATGTCTGGGTACCATATTTGTGCCTGGTGCCCACAGAGGTCAGAAGAGGGTGTCACATCCCCTGGTTGTGAGCCGCCATGTAGGAGCTGGGAATCAAACTTCGGTCCTCTGGAAGAGCAAACAGAATTCTTAACCACTAAGCCACCTCTCCAGCCTCATGTTTATTTGTTGAGACAAGGTCTATCTATGGAGCCCTGGTTGGCCTGGAACTCTCGATGTAGACAAGACTGGCCTTGAACTTACAGAGCTCTATCTCTGCCTCCTGAGTGCTGGAATTAAATGCAAGCATCACCATGCTCAGCTTTTTTTTATATTTTACATTTATTGTGTGCGGGCGGGGGCACTTGTGCCAGAAGACAGCTTCACCTATGGGTTCTCAGGAGTCAAACTCGGGTTGTGAGGCTCAGTGGCAAGTGCCTTTACCTGCTGGGACATCCCACTGGCCACAGAGGCCATTTTAATCTGCACTGCCTTGAGGGAGGAATGCAGTCCTCACTATCGGGGAGAGAAGTGAGCTTCCCAGCAGAGAGGGAGGAGTCTGGGATGTGGACGCATCTGTGGACTCCCAAGGCTGAGATGATTTTTCTGACCTTACGTCCCTTCTGGACAGGGACAGATGCAACAGTTTGGGGCAGCATCATGTGCAGAGCTATTCCTTGCATTTAGCGGTCTTCCAATTTATCTCATTCTTACAGGCATCTCATTTGTTCTTTCCACTGGCTTCTGCTTGGACCCGGAGCCTGCAGAATCGACAAGATGAACCCCACGGATGTAGCGGACACCACACAGGATGAAAACGCATACAATAATTACTATGCCTATGAGAGCATGCCCAAGCCTTGCACCAAGGAAGGCATCAAGGCATTTGGGCAGCTCTTCCTGCCTCCTCTTTATTCCTTGGTCTTTCTGTTGGGTCTGTTTGGAAATTCTGTTGTGGTTCTGGTGCTGTTCAAATACAAGCGGCTCAAGTCCATGACCGACGTGTACCTGCTGAACCTTGCCATCTCAGACCTGCTCTTTGTTCTTTCTCTCCCATTCTGGGCTTACTATGCCGCCGACCAGTGGGTTTTTGGACTAGGTCTGTGCAAGGTTGTTTCATGGATGTACTTGGTGGGCTTTTACAGCGGCATCTTCTTCATTATGCTCATGAGCATCGATAGATACCTGGCCATAGTGCACGCAGTGTTTTCCTTGAAAGCGAGGACTCTAACCTATGGGGTCATAACCAGCTTGGTCACGTGGTCAGTGGCTGTGTTCGCCTCCCTTCCAGGCCTCTTGTTCAGCACTTGCTATACAGAGCACAACCACACATACTGCAAAACCAAGTACTCAGTCAACTCAACGACATGGAAGGTCCTCAGCTCCCTGGAGATCAACGTCCTGGGGCTGGTCATCCCCCTGGGGATCATGCTGTTTTGTTACTCCATGATCATTAGGACCCTGCAGCACTGTAAGAATGAGAAGAAGAACCGGGCGGTTAGGATGATCTTCGCTGTGGTGGTCCTCTTCCTTGGCTTCTGGACGCCGTACAACGTGGTGCTTTTCCTGGAGACCCTGGTGGAGCTTGAAGTTCTTCAGGACTGCACCTTGGAGAGGTACCTAGACTATGCCCTCCAGGCCACAGAAACCCTGGCCTTCATTCACTGCTGCCTCAACCCCGTCATTTACTTCTTTCTTGGGGAGAAATTCCGGAAGTACATCTCCCAACTCTTCAGAACGTGCTGGGGTCCTCTTGTACACTGTGACTTCCTCCAGGTCTACTTGGCTGACACCCCCAGCTCCTCTTACACGCAGTCCACTGTGGATCATGACCTCCGTGACGCTTTGTAACACGTGAACAGGGGTAACGTGGTGTTAACAAGCTCCCCGCAGCCAGCACATGCTCACCTTGTTTTCATTAAGGGCGAAAACAAACAAAAATTACGGAAAGACGGCTCCTCACCCTGCAGCTGACTCTTCCTCTTTCCATAGAGAAGTGCAGTCCGAAATGTGTTTAGCTGGACTGAGTTCATTCACACACCAGGTCTGTCTCCCGGGAGAGAGGAGCCTGGGGAGCCTGTGAGCAGACTCTCAGTGGGTGTCTAGATTGCACTGAAGACACCTCCCCTCTTCCCAGCCTCCCCAGGGACTCTCCAGAGAGTTTCAGAGCCCTGATGGGTGGAGGAAATCACTCCTTCACCATGGAATGAGTCTCTGGTCTTTGTGGAACTCTCTAGAAGACTTTGGCATGCTCTTGTCCTAGTGTTTTTCCAGTGGTATTCTAGGAAGCGAGATGTTGAGAGAAATGAGGATCTTAGGTCTTGATTCTTTTGTTATAGAAAGCTGTTCATTGAAGCCTGGCTACAGTGTAGATGATGAGGCATTTGGACAAGCCTGTCTCCACTTGAAACAGGCATTTAGAGCATGCCTATTGAAATCCACTTGCAGCTTGGCTTGCTAACATATGTTTTAATTATAACAAGTGGTTATTCAAATTGTAGAAGAAATGAATCAGGGCAGAGAGGGGTGAAACATCCTTGTAATCCTAGCTACTCCAGGGCTGAGACCAAGGGATCTTAGATTCAAGGATTACGTGGATAATACCAAAACCAATACCAAGCGAATCCCAAAGTTTATCTCTGAAAGGCTCTTGTGAGTACCCTAAGTTCATTTTTTTTTTAAAAAAAATTTTTATGTGAGCTGTTACTGGTCATGGTGGCAAATGTCTTTAATCCCAACACTTGGGAGGCAGAGGCAGGCGGATCTCTGAGTTTGAGGCCAGCCTGGTCTATGAATCTAGATCCAGGATAGCCGGGGCTATACAGAGAAACCCAGTCTCTAAAAACAAAACCCCAAAACCATGAGCTATATGAGCTGGGCGGTGGTGGTGCACGTCTTTAATTCGGCACTTGGGAGACAGAGGCAGGCAGATCTGAGTTTGAGGCCAGCCTGGTCTGCAGAGCGAGTTCCAGGACAGCCATGGCTAGAACAGTTATTCTTATGATATTTTAATAATTTATCATGTTATATCATTAAGATAATTTGCTATATCTGTTTTTACTCAAGCCATTTAAATTTTTAAAAGTTACTTTACGTGTATAGGTGTTTGCCTGCATGTGTATCTGTGCATCACATGTGTGCATGCAGAGGCCAGAAGAAAGTGTTGGATCCCCTAGAACTGGAGTTACAGATGGTTGTGAGCTGTCATGTAGATCTGGGGATTGAACCCAGGACCTCTGGAAGAGCAGCCAGTGGTCTTAACCCCTGAGCCATCTCTGCAGCCCCTTGTTTTGTTTTTGAGACGGTCTCACTGGTAGCACAGACTGCACTAGGACTCAGTGTGCAGCCAGGTTGGCCTTGGCCTTTCCCCGGGCCTCCTGCTTCAGCCTCTCATGTGCTGGAATTGTAGGTGTGAGCCCCACATCTAGCTCCAAAGCCTTGATTGCTCAGAATTAAGTAAAACTCCAATAAAGTTTGTGAGAGCAAATCCCTCCCAGAGTAAGAACCAATCCGGAGAGATACTGAGTTCAAATCTTCCATTAAGCCTGTACATTGTAATACTTGCTGCCTTTATGAAGAGTGCATTGCTAGTTTATTTTCTGAAGAGAGGCTTTAAGAGGAAAATCTGATATTGCCTTTATAGAAAACAAAATAAAGTTGCGTCTTTAGCTGCACTAAGCCTTCATCCCTGATCATGTCTTTGTGTGATCTTCTGGTGTGGGTGGGAGTCGGAGTTGCTGACCCACCCGAGGTTTAGCCACGTGGTGTAAGTCCAAAGGGAGAGTGGGTGAGCTAACTGTTAAATTCTCCACATGGGGGCTGGCAAGGTGGCTCAGCTGGTGAGCTGAGTTTAATCCTTGGGACCCACATGGTAGAAGGAAGGAGAGAAATGGCTCCCGAGAGTTGTTCTCTGAC